AACAGTGAGATGTGGAGAATATTTACTTGTCATGCGTACACTTCCTAATTCTTTTATTGTTCAGAGGGAAAAATTAAGATTTCAGTTGCTCTTTTGTTAAAAAAGTGGATACTATCAAGCTAAATAGTTGCAAAGAGGTTAATCTTTTAACTTCCTGTACAAAACAGAATACCTGTAGTTTTCCTGCTACCTAGACTCACCTAGGCAAACGGTTGATTTTCCCCACTTCGTCGATGGCGCACAGGAGGTAGGGATAATACATGTGAAGCGAAACTTTGCTTAGCATTTTTCCCCTTTCCCTCGCTGTTTTGCAGTTTTCTCTCGTCAAAACAGTACAACTGAATAGTTCTTTTTTTTTACAAAAATGTTTAAAACGTGTACGTGTCTGTCTGTAAAATTCGTCTTTTCCCTTACTATTGCATATGAGGCTCCAGATTTAAGAAGAAATTTGAGGAATACAATAGCTTTCGCGCATTCACAAACAGAAAACAAACCTGTAAAAGAGGGTCTCATTAATGGGGTGGTGGCTTTTACGGTTATCGGCTAAAATTTTGGCTTTTTTACGGCTATCGGTTACGAATAACAAAAAAGTTAAAAATTAATTTCTTTTGTTTCAAAGGGATAAATATTAATAAACCTGCATTTTTTGCATCTTCAAAGCAAAATTAAGGTCTTAGGATCATCTCGGGATAAAAGGAAGCTATTCTTTTGAAAAATTTAGCATTTGATAGATCATACTTTTACAAAGTATTCCATTTCTAACAGTGTTTTACGCAGATAAAAATGTAAATAGTCAATTTAAAAATAATCTTTGTGAAAAAGCAAAAGCAGACACGCGAACGCCCAACTCATGGCTGGGGAGGGGGAGGGGACATTCATTTATATCAGAAATAGTCGCTTTCACACTAGAGACGGATTTTTCATGAAAGATGGGTTATCCGTTTGATAATTCGCGCCAGATAGGTAGTACGTCTTAATTCGAAAATGGAATGGTTTAAACTTGGAATGAACCATCCGCCTGACTTTACCTGCCAATTTTGACGGACAGTTTGAAGATGGATTATCCGTTTCAGATAGCTTGGGTACAGTTGCCCCCCCCCCCCCCTTCCCCCCTCCCCTACAGACATCCCTTCCGCAACCATTAAGTGAGTTTACCAAATCTAGCTTAAATTTACAGGACGAAAAATCAAGTATCCGTAAACTTAAACATGGTGGAAACACGTGACTCCGTTGCGGAAACACAGCGGCAAACGCGTGTTTCCGCTAGCGGATACATTACGGTTTCTCATGTTTCCGTCGCTGCGTTTTCAACGGAACAGGAACACTTTTTTTCATGTTTCCGACAGATTTCCGTTTCAGGAATCACGTATTTCCGCAATCGTTAACGTGTGCTTATGTTGCGAAAACGCGATATTCCGTACCGGAAACCTGTTATTTCGTTCGTTCTACTGGCGGAAATGGAAGATACGGTCCGGCAACCTGACTTGTTTTTCTGTGTTTCCGTCTGTTTCCGTTACTGCGTAAATATGTCCAAACAGTTTCATATTTGCCGAAACCAGGTTTTCTAATGGCAATTTTTCTTTATTCTTACATGAAATTAACCTTTGAGTATTTTTCCTGGTTAACTTACATGCAATGAAGACTTGTTCATTATATAAGTCAGACAAATATATACCACCATAAAATTGAAATCCATCTGTGTTGCATTTAAAATTTTATTCCATTTCCTGCACACAGACTCGTATCAAACAATGCTTATTTATGGTCCTATCTCATACGCAGAAGTTGGAAAGTGAACATAATTGTAGCGTGCTTAGAGGGTTTAAAATAAGTGCAAAGATTCAAATGCACAAATTACATCAACAAAAAATGAATGGCTAAACTTTGACATAATACAAGTACTGTTTTTTGAGGTAAATTAATTGTATACTTCACAAATTGAAAACCTAGCCTTTTTTCAACATACTAACAAATTTAACAGACACTAATGTAATCTTGAATTCAAGTGCAGCTTATGGCTGGTGATAGTTTTATAGCCTATAATGTTTCAGCACAGTGGAATGTGATTTGTCTGGTGAATGTCCTGAGAAGGACTGTTGTTGACAGCGACTGACGTTTTATCAACAAGGTGATCATCAATTTCATGGTCATTGTCAAAACATCAGTTCCTGTTTGATCATTTTCCACTTTCTTATTTCAAATGAATCCTAGCCTTAAACCATTCAAGATAACAATAAAATTATATTGTGTCAGGAAATATTCTTACTCTTCTGACATGGTGTTCTAAACTCTTTACAATTCTCTATAACCAGTGCAAAGATTCAAATGCAAAAATACACCAACCAAAAAGTATGGCTTCAGTTTTACATAATTCGAGTCTGCTAAAATTGTTTATGTGTTTCATGTCTACCTTTTTCTACAACCTCTCACAAAATCAACAGATACTGTTAAATGAATCTTATAAACTTGAACATAAACTCTGTTTCATTATCACACATTGATGAGGGTAATAATTATTATTTCAAGACCTTGACAGCTTTCAAATTGTTTTAAGGGGCTACATGTATGCAGGGTGCAAAGAAAATCATTTTTACAGCTTGCCATCTGGGCAAGCTGAAGCTAGCATTTACTAGCCCAGACGTCATTTCAACTAGCCCCAAAAGCTTTTTGATGAGCAGAATTTATTTCACAGTTCTTCTGTTATTCGAATTTCTCAAAAAACATCACTTGCCCGTCGGGCAAGTTAAGAACAGAATTCACTAGCCTGATAGCAAAATCCACTAGCCCTGGGCTATTGGACACTGCTTTCTTTGCACGCTATGTATGTCACGAGGATACTGGTGTTTTAAGTCACTTCTATTCTCAAGTCATTACTTAGTGCTCGATCGCTGGATATTGGCCAAGCTCTGTTTTGTGAGGCCAATTAAGTTCCATGATCTTGCTTGCTTCGAGAGAACCTTCTGCACCAAACTTGCATACCAAGGTGATCTGACTGTTGTATGAAAAACAAAACAAAGTGCTTTTAAGTAAAATTTGACAGAGGCTATTCCCCAGGCAATCAGGGGGGAGGAAAAACCTCTTTGCAGTAAGAAAACTACACGTAGTAAATGAATAATATATAAATCACAAATGTACATGTATACAGTTGTGTTTCATAGTAATATAGTCAGGATGTTATGTTCCCTGCACAATAAGACTGCGGACCAAGGGTTTAATGCAAACAGAGGCTGTCTGTAATGCATCAGTCAATTCCAGCTGCGCCAAGCCCCCACCCGCCCAGGAATAAATTGAAGAGGGTTGTAAAGGTATGTTCTCGATTTTATGCATGCATTTCTTCATTGCATATCAAGCCAGAGTTACATAGAGAAAACCGGAGCTATCGATGTGAATCAATGTGTTTTGGTTATTGAATCAAATTTCTGTTGATATTACTTCAAGAACATCCTTTCATATTTATAAAACTATTC